CTGTCACTACAAACATGCTTAGTGTGAGGAATTGCATTCAAGTCAATGAGTCGATGCAATCAACTGGTTTTCCTTAGATAGAAAACTGAATCAGTTTGACTGGATGATCTAATGAACTGTAAAGTGCCTTGAGATTATGCTGTGAATTGGCACTATAGAAATAAACTGAACTGAATTGAATTAAACCAGTGTTCATGACATGAATAAAGTGATTTCTTCCCAGTTTTGGGGTATTTATGTGATGCATTGTTACACCACGTCCCTGTGTGCTGATTTAATCCCATGTTGGGTTGGTCTCTATCTTTGACATTCTTTCTGTAGTGTTTGCAGTTGAGGGTGATGTCAGGGCTTTGCCTCAATCTCAGCTATGCTGGGCATCTGTTCAATTGACAGCTGGCATTAGATCAAAGAAAGGAAATTCCCACATTTCTGGTAACAATACATGGATGTCTATTTTTTGTTTAGGAAAAAAGGACATGAGCTTACTGAATTAGCTTTCCCTGAAAACACCAAGTAGCATCACTGCATAAAGTGAACTAAATGTTTCTTAAATAAGATATATTTGCACTTAATTTGAGTTGGTAAGTAAAATGATCGGCCTAATGATAAAGTTTACTTCACCTAAGATAAAGGAAAAAAAACAAAGCAACATAATTGCAGTATAATAAGTTAGGGACCAAAATTGGGGCAAATCCACATATTTTCATACTTTAAAAAAATAATTTACTGGATAAATTTTTGCAATAATCTGCCTTTCCCTCATAACTAAAATAGGCCCTGGGTATGTCCTGTCAAGTCAAAGATGGGAAAACTTCACGAAAAACAACAAATTAAAATAAATGGTTTTTGAAGCAGATTATATAAAATAAAGCTTGACGACACTGGAATATCATTCACATCTAAGATGTGAGGTTTCTCCTTCTAAGAACTGTTAGAATGATACAGCTATGAGACACGTCCAACCAAGAGCACTTTACGATGAGCTTTTTAAAAAAAAAATTTTTTCTCTGTTTTAAAGTTGTTTTATGTGTAAATAAAAGGTCAACTCTTAAATTGGGGTTCCATCTTAAATGATGCAAGACGTTTAAGGCTGGTATTACTCGTCCCTCTCTTATCCAGGAGGGGTCAGCAGTGACCGCCGCTTCAGTTGGAAACAGTTTCACAACATCTGAGATCTATTGGTGGTGTTTTAGAAATGCGGACAATCTTCATCCATTAAAAGCAAAGTATCAGCATCTCAAACTTAAACGGTTGCACACATCATTTAATGCTGCCATTAAACAATCAGCAGCAGATCCCTTATTAACTTTTACAAAGGATATGACTCAATAACCAGGACTAATTTAGTCATATCAGCTGATGTGAGAATATCACAAGACATAATTTTCCCTGAAAAAAGAAAAAGTACCCACCCTAAAAATAACCGAAACGACTTCAAACAAAAAGAGTAATCTGATTATCTTTTCTGATTATTTAACATTTCTATTGTTGTGGAAAAGGCTGTTATAAACTGAACAATTTCCAGGGAAACATGTCTGAAACTTTGTGGCTGGAATTCAGCTGTTTTTCTAATGACCTAAAACTGGCAAAAAAGGACAATTTAAAAAAAAAAAAAAAAAAAAAAAACAGAAGTAAAACAAAGTATTAAAAAATTGCTGCTGTAAGCAGACAGTTCTGAAAATTGTTACATTATGTTTACTGAGAGATGTGTGAACATACACATGTGATTGATGAGGAAATCAAAGATTAAAATAGGGAAAAGGTTGAATCAGCTGATGGAGTACAGTAGCAGTAGTGACCTCTGGTGATGACCTGCTGCTTTGGAGCATAGATGCTACCTGCTGTAAAAACCCTCAGCTCTCCTTCTATGCAGATGATTCTCTTCTGTTCCTGTATTGGAGGTGGAGGTACTCATCGTCTTCAGCTTATCCAGGACCGGGTCACAGGGGGCAGTGGCGGTTCTAGACCAAATGTACCAGGGGGGCCAGGAGGGGGCCGGCGCGTTTTAATGGGGACACAGAAAAGCATGAAATAAAAAAAAAAACAGGCCAAGGGATTCAAATAAATTAAGATAGCTGCATTAAGAGAAATTTCTATTCAATTAGGTTTCATTAAAATTCTAAATGTCTTAAAGGAATAGTACACGCAAAACATGATTAGCCTTCATTTTCTACTCACCCCCATGCTGAACAACACTCTGGAGTACTTTTTTGATATCTCAAATGCATCTGGAGATCTGGGAGGCTTCTTGCTGTCTGCTGACATTCAAATAATGGAGGTCTATGGCGCCCGAGGCAGAAAGGTCCATAAAAGTCCACAAAAAACGTGTCAATATTCCTCCATACTGCTCGTCCAATGTATTCCAAGAGTCCTGAGTGGGTAGCGTCCATAATTTACTCAAAACGAAGTTATTTAGAATGTTTTTAGAGCATAAACAGTAGTGTATAGGATTTCCTAAAAGCGCGCGCCTGCGAGTTCACGAGTCTACGGAAACCGCGGCAGACCAAACCAGATGAAAGTGCGCATTCAGCTCGGCAAAGAACTCATGCTCTTCCTCAACACTGAAGTCCTCAGACATTTTTCTTTCGTTGTTTCTTTCTTTGCACAGGTAAACAGCACATTTCTTCTTCTACGCTTGCATTATCGGCAGAGCAGAAGCTGAATGCGCACTTTCATCTGGTTTGGTCTGCCGCGGTTTCCGTAGGCTCGTGAACTCGCAGGCGCGCGCTTTTAGGAAATCCTATACACTACTGTTTATGCTCTAAAAACATTCTAAATGACCACCAAGAAGCCTCCCAGATCTCCAGATGCATTTGAGATATCAAAAAAGTACTCCAGAGTGTTGTTCAGCATGGGGATGAGTAGAAAATGAAGGCTAATCATGTTTTGCGTGTACTATTCCTTTAATAGGTCAATATACATTCAGAATTTAGGAATTTTCTTCTTCTTTTTTTTTTTTTTCTTAATTTAAGTTGAAATTACAGTTTACTATAAAATCTGAATTAGAATTTAAGAAAAACTGTTCAAATTAGCTGTAAAAAGAGTATTTTTTTTATTATTTGTTTTGGAAAAAAACATTTAGCAGATGAAAACTGGGATGCTATCTCAATACCACTTATGCTATGTTTTTAAACAGTTAATAAAACAGAATTTGTAAAGAAAAAAATTAAAAAGAACCAAAGGATCTATCAGTAACCATGTCTGTTTCAGCGCATATCATCATTAGAATTTCTTTGAGTATTATGTCTTCAGTACAGAACTTGATCTACAGGGGCCCTGGCCCCCGTTGGCCCCTGTCTAGAACTGCCCGTGACAGGGGGGGCCGCTGTCTCAGCGGAGACTCCAAGACACCCCCCTCTTCAGACACCTCTTGGGGAAGCAGTTAGCGTTCCGAGGCCAGCCGACAGACATATAGCATATCCTGGGCCTCCTCCTGGTGGGACTTGCCTTGCAAACATCTCCCAAAGGGAGGCGTTTGCTCATGCTCCAGATTTCATGACCATAGATTTCAGCTGAAGATCAAAGGAGTTAAAGAATCTTAGTGTCTAGTTAGTAAAAGAGGGACGGCAGGATGAAGATGGATGGGTTGTCCGCAGGGATTTAGAAATAACTGAGCCAAAAGGCAAATCTTCCAACTTATCTTGTTTACTTTCAAGCATCCACACCATATGGATTCTAATCTGAAGAGCGAGATCCCAGATAAAACTTCTTGAAAATGCCATATTTAGAGAAAGTAATTATAGCAAATAAGGCACAGAATGCAAAAATGCAGTCTAGTAACAGTAGCTTGATGATATGTGAGACTATCAGAGGTGGAAAAAGTACTAAAATATCATACTCAAGTAAAAGTACCAATACTTGAATGAAATATTACTCAAGTACAAGTAAAATTACCCATCAGAAAAATTACTCAAGTAAAAGTAATATGTAGCTAATTTAAAATGTATTTTAAGTAAAAGTTACTTAGTTACATTTAAAAATGGCATTGCATGATGATACTGTTGGCCCGCTTGAATTTAAATGAAAAGCAGTCTTTCAAATGTGGCCGAGGATTTTCGTCGTTTTGGGCAGCAGAATTCGATGTTTCAGCTAGCATTTCTAGTGAAACGTTCCGGGCCCGATTTTTTGTCTTCCTTTCGGTTTTCCAAAGTTTTTTTTAACTCAGTAACGGATGGGATTTGTAATGTAACGAAATACAATACTTCACTCAAAACTTAATCAAGTAAAATTTAAATTACTGATTTTAAAAACTACTTGAAAAATACAAAATACACAAAAAACCTACTCAATACAGTAACTTAAGTAAATGTATTTCGTTACTTTCTACCTCTGGAGACTATACATAAATTTGGCATAAAAACAGAATAGTTTTGTGACAAGCTGTGGAAACGTGTTCTTGACTATGATACGCAGTTTCAACAAATACTCTATGTTGGCTTTTAGGAGCTCAGATTAATGGTCTGCATCTGGTAAACTCCTTTAACAAACACATTCCAAATATAAGCATAATTTCTAATCCCAATTAAAAGTTGTATTCCTAAAATACTTGGGTGGATCAGTTGTAACTCATTGTCTATTCAGTGGTTTGATTATTCACTTTCAGTAAGCCTGTTTGAGCCGTTGGCTTTGTTTTCTGCTTTCAGCAGACATGAAAGGCTTCTGCCGCGGCCTACGGCAGATTCAGTCCACCTACTACAATGTACGGCATGTATTCACAGCTAATGTTGGTCCACCTCCCTTTTGTTTTGTAGATTTTTCCTTAATTTTTTGTTAACAAGAGATGGGCGTGATGGGAAACCCCAGAAGAGCAGTCCCGCAGCTACTCAGGCCAGGCTGCAGCTACTCCACAGTCAAGATAGAAAGATATCCCTTCATTGTTCTCTTCTACGGTTTGAACGTCAGTCTTTGCCTGATTTGACATTTTTCCAAAAAAGCAAGATAACAGGCCAGTGGCTGCATGTGCGTGATTCCTGCAGGAAGATTAAGAGAAACACCAAACAGTTAATCCCATTTTTTTATTTGAGAGTTGAGCTCTGAGTTTCAGGTCTTATTTACAGTTGCATTGTTGCGGTTCTGATTTCTGGGAGCTCCAACCGCCGATGTGGTAAAGTAGGAAATAAAAACAATTTTAAAAAAGCTGACGGCAACATCACACCCAGAGAGAGGGTCAGAGCTTGTTGAGTGACAGTGCACAAACAATATCCTAGCTGTACAATAATCGTGCTACTATTCACATTCAGCTGTACATTAAGAATCCTATTTACAGTGATCACATTAGGGAGAGAGCCAGTACCTGAGGAGTTACTTCCACCATTGGGTTTACTCATTCACCAGAATAAAAAGATGCACATCCGTCTCAGAAACACCATATCCACAAGATCTATATCCAGGATTTTTACAGCTCTCTGCTCCTAATGATGCAACAACCCTGGAAGTGGTTGAAGGAAGTAGTGGGCTCCATGACAACAGGATCAACAATGGAGTTCTGTTTGTTCTAGACATTAAATGGCCTTATCATTTGCGTCACGCACCCACCCTCCACATTAATGTGAATCAATTTTTGAAAGGTTTGTCTTTGCTGAGGTAGGCAGCGAAGAGCAGATTAGATTAGAGTGTTATTGGTGTTTTTACGCAAGCCCAAGATGTGTCATTTCCCCTTGCAGCACCCAACATAGGGTGTTTGTAAAAGTTGACTATTGTTTCTTTAAGAGAAACACTCCTCTCAGATACTTCAAGTTAGCTGGCACACTTCAAGAAAAAAAAAAAAAAGACAGGAAGCTATAAACAAAAAGGTGAGGTCAATTTACTCAGGCTCTCTCCAAAAGCACACCTGTACATGGAAACATAACGGCCGAGTGATTATTACCGTTCAACAGCACATCAGATTTAAAAACACCACAAAGAAACGCCTTGGAAATGTGCAGCATTTTCTCCCAAAAATAAAAATGAACCAATAAATAAAAAAGAGAATAAAAATAATTCATTAAATAACAATCATTGTCTCAGTTTAGGATCACCTGAAAAGGGATCAGCGTTTAACTTAAACTGTCCGGAGTCCATTTAAAAAAGGAAAGAAAAAAAAAAATCTATGAAATGCTCCAAGTCCTCCGCCTTTTTACATTTACAGTACAACAGCGACCTCTGCAGGCCTGAATCTCATTCAACCACATTATTTTGGAACCATTTTTACCAATTACCCACTTCACAATCAAATATACCTAAAGAGGGCGATGATTCAGGTCAAAACGTCTGTTTTCTGTCAGTTTGCCAGGAGTAGTGATTTCTGCAGAGGAGCAGGGTAACAGAAGCAGTCACACATTGAGGAGCGGTAGATTTGGTATGATCCAGCAGCTTTACGTCGTCTGTAAATCTAGGAGTCTGAGTGGAGGCCGAATGGGGCGTTAAGCCTTGTAGTTGTTCGCCTGCGTGGTGAGGGCCAGCTGACCGTTGGGGGCCACCTCGGTGGCCTCGTCCTCCAGCAAGCCGGACACGTCTGCGTTGGGGATGCTGTCATGGTAGCTGCTAAAGCTGATGTTGTCCTCCTTCAGCTCAATGGTCCAGAAGGGGGCGTTGAGCTTGCGGTTCTGATACTCCCGGTAGGTGTACACGCCTCCCACGAAGCCCAGCAGCAGCAGCACCACCAGAATGATGACGGCCAGGATGATGATGTTAAACTGCGTCCATGAGACCTCGGTTAGGGCTGCTGTGGTGTTATCTGTGGGGCTGCTCAGGCTGGTCAGCAGGGCCTGGGTGGTGCTGCTGCTCGAGGCGTTGTCGTCAACCTCGTTGAATCTGAGAGCCGGCCTGCCTTTGGTTGCTGTGGAGGTGGAAGTGGTGCTGGTGAGAGATGACGTTGGGGAAGCGCCACTGGGCGGGGGGGTTTTGGTTGTGACCTCTGCTGGTGCTGGAATCAGTCGAGGGTCTAAGGAGAATAAAAACATTTGAAACTTCAGTGAATCTTAATTTGTAGCCTTAAGGAATTCACGGTGATGTAGGAAAGGTCCAAGAAATGATCCAGAACCAACTGGCCACTATTCTGGATCGTTCAATTGTCTTTAAAAATCAAAACACTAAATGCTGAATGCATGTCCAGCTTGCTGACAACAATGGTGTAACTATCGGTAAGAGGAGTATGCAGTTGCTTAGGGGCCCTGGCCTCCTATTAGGGTCGGGGGCCCCTTCACTGACACCAGGTAGGCCCCCTACACAATTGTGGACAAGGATGTCTCTTTGCAAATATAATGGTGCAAAAAATTCATCTTAAACCCACCTGACACTAAACTGAATGACCGGACCATATAAATACCCCAACAGATGGCAGACTTCAACAGGATGGTGAGCGAGACAGTGGTACTTTTAATTACTATGTTAACAATGCGTATAGTTCATTAGACGGTTGGTAAAAAATACACTCCTATTGTTGGAATAATTATGTATAAGATACTTAATGTTTGTTCTTATGATGTGTAATGTCTGATATATTACTGTTCCAGAGAGGTGTTGCACAAGCAGTATAGGTCAACTCTCAGGAAGTATTGCTCAAGCTTAAAGAAACCAGGAGGTTCTCGGACCAATTGACCGCAAGACATTTAAATGCAAATTGACCTGTTCACTGAGGCTGCAAATTATATTATATTTATTGTTTCCTATGCCTTTAGCGCAATCTCAGCTTGTGTAACTAGGGACTCCCCCCTCTGGCTTTAATAAATAGTGAGGAGAAAGCTGAAGACCGGCAGAGTGGGGTGGAGATGTACCTGCACAGTCTCTTCCTACTCTCCTTGTGAGTAAAAAGAATTATGACTCTGTGCCTTTCTTTCCTTGTTTTACAGTGTTTTAGGTGTTAGACCTGACAGCTATAATATGTTTCAAATCGAAATAAAGAGATGCTGGAAGGACGGAAAAAACTTCCCAAAATAAACACGTTCTTTAGAAGAACTGAAGAGGGAGAGGTGGACGTGGCTGCTGCTACAGTGAGTAAAGATTGCGACAAGGAGATGAATGGAGGTTGCGTGGTTGAAGAGGGGAGCTGTGACGCTCAAGATAGCCTGATAAGAATAATTTTACCGCAGAATATACTAATGAATATCTATGACTAGTGAAGGTGAAGAATGATGAAATGATAACGTGTGCATGTTAGACTTCATGTCATGGTTACGCTGGTATAACCCTCAGCGTTACACCTCAGTGACGCCGATGTCAGAGCGAAGGACTGCTGCTGAAGCCCAGACTGTCTCCATTCACACTGCAAAAATTGAAATCTAAATAAGCAATTTCTTTTTTTTTTCGAGGTGCTAACGTCTCTGTTAAACACTTTAAAAAACTCTAAAAATGGAATACGAAAGGTGCATTCTTGATTCTCGACGTCGGAGTACACAGAGTGAAGCGAAAAGACTACAACTGTGTAAACAGGCCCCATTTCCGTTTCCGGTGGCAGCGGAATATTGACTATTCCAACAGAACTCAATGGGATTTACAAAATGCTAAATAAAACACTACAGGAACGTTTTTTCTTTACAAAACTTTTTTTGGAACGTCATTGAACAGCGCTGACGACCCGGTGAGTAGCATATTTTAAAAAAAGAACGTTTAAGGTTGTTTTAAGGACATTATCGGACATGCACTAGGGAAGCCATTCTGAAGCAGCCAGGGGTGGATTCTAAATGAGCCAAAAAGCAGAGACAGGACCAATTGTCAAAATTTTGGTGTCCTTCATTCGATTTCATCCTGGACACTACAGAAAATGGGCTTAAAGTGTTAAAAACCGGAATTCTCCTTTAAAGGAGGCGGCCTACATGGCAGGGTTATCACTAAGATGTTTTTATCAAGCATGTTTTTAAAAATCTTTTATAAAAAATATAAATGTTATAAAACATTTTCTAGTATTCCAGAAGGATATTGAAACTAAATCAACTTTATGTTATCAAATTCATCTTAAAAGCAGTTAACAGAGACACAGTTGTGTATGATTTAAATGCAGGGAGGATCCATTTTACAGTAAAATATTATATTTACATCCAACTGGTTGATTCAGGAGGATCAGTGGAAGCTTTATACATGTGTGGCTCATGCTAAATGGGGAAACAGAGTCGCTCTTCTCCCTCTGACTGCAGAAACTGGCTACAGCTGCAGTGTTTTGGAGGAGGGAGGGTCTCGCTCACTCACTGCTGTTTAAGGACCCTAAACTAAGAGCTAAGGGTGAATGTGATGTCACCAGCAGTTCCCTCATATTTATATTTATGTTTAGGTAAAGGTGTATAAAAATACCATTTACACTGCCATAATGCTCATTAAAAGTAGTTGCATTGTGCTTTTATAAGTTTTAATGTAGCCATTAAAAGGAGGGAGCCTTTTTCTAAAATCAGTGCCTCAGTTTTAAAATTAAGAACAACCCTCAGCATCCTCTTCATCAGAGTGTCTTCAGCACTGAATGATGGCTTTATTCAAAGAGCAAGTTAAAAATCGGATCAGTTTATCTATAAAACGTCAACCCACAACGTGTCAGTTCAATTAAATCATCCAGACTGATTGGTTAAAAGCTTTTCATCTCAGGAAACCCAGCAGATTGCAGTTGAGTTGTTAACTGGCAGCATTCACTCCTCATGGATGAGCATGTGGTGACAGTGGAGAGAAAAAACTCCCTTTTAACAGGAAGAAAGCTCCAGCAAATCCAGGCTCAGAGTGAGCGGCCATCTGCTGAGGCTGACTGAGGTTTGATCATACGGAAGCAGACACACAAAAAAACAGAAGCAAAGTTGCATCTGAATGAATCACAGAGCTTCAGAGGCCAAACATAACTGTTAAAAATAGCAAAGGAAGGGTGGCTGAAAACTGGGTCATCAACAGGATTACGAACCTAAAACAGAAGTGCTGAAAAAGAAACTAGCTGTAACATCGGCCAAAACAAAGAAATATTAGGGGAACTAAATGAACTGAACCAGTGACCTAAAGAGGGATCTAAATTTATCTGAAATGAAGTGACCCTAACCCTAAACCGCATCAAAAAGCAAAAAAGTTATTTCCTGTGAAAATAGCCAGATCCTGAGTCACAAGTTGCTCTCCTTACACAGTTTTTAGTCACTCTTTGTCCTTGTTAGACAACAAATAATAATGTTAGATGTTAATAACATGAAAAGATATCCTGAGGTTTTGGCCTTACTTAGACGGGTGCAGTTGTGTGCTCTGGCGTCCCCCACGAACCCGGGGGCGCACTCCTGGCACCGCGACCCAGAGGTGTTGTTTATGCAGCTGAGGCAGGTGCCACTTTTAGGGTCACAGAGCTGGGGGGGCCCCTGAGGGTCTGCGTTGCCGCTGCAGTCGCATGGCACACAGGTCCCTGAGGCGTTGTAGAAACCAGGGCTGCACTTGTCACAGTGTGGGCCGCTGTAGTGGGGAAGGCACTGGTCACACACTGGAGAGCCACTGGCATCTGAAGGAGAAGAGAGAATACCACGTCAGCTCAAGGTAAACAGAGAGGCTGGAAGACACTTTACTGAACAATAAGTCAACGATCCTCTAAAAAACTGATTCAGGGTAAAAAAAAAACTCAAAGAAATACTTTACAAATGAGCAGATTTTTATATGGATTCTTTCATATGAATTACATGTATAAAAACTCAACACGTTGCTTTTGCCACTAGGGGGAGTAAGAGGACAAGCTGTAAATGTGGGAGCCATGTTGTGGTTTATTATCCTTCCACAGCCTGCTTTCCCTCAGATGCTTCATAAAAACATGGACTGCTGTGTCTCCTGAGCCCAGGTCACACCCAGGCACCTTCTGTCCTATACCCTGTGGAGAGCAGGGAGCCTGGCATGGAGGGCAAGTGGAACATTCAATACATGTATAGAGAATTCACGAAAAGAAGAAATCTGAGGAATGCATAAAATAAATGCAATCTTAGACTGAAATGTGCTTTAAATGAGCAGATTAAAACATAAATGCATCTGTAAAGGAGAGATAGGGATGAATCCTCCCTCATTATCATATAGACATAAACACAACACATGTGGGAAGATGTTTTGGAAGCAAACTTTACACCCCACACACCCACACCCATAGGAAATATAAAACAGATTCAAGGCTTTATCTGTGTTTCTCATTGGACTGTTTGGTCCTTTATTCTGAAAAATCCAGAAACGAAGCACATTTTATAGATTCGATGTGGATTCTGGTATATTTTCACCACTGGTGGTTAGAACAGGTATACTCTGCTACCAGGAGTCAGCTTTCCTTCATGGTAATATAACACTGAAACACCTTTTGCCATGGAGGCATGGAGATGCAGTATTAAAGGGCAGCATCCTCACTGCTCCGTGCCCCAGAAGACAAAGCTTTTCCCCAAACATCATCTTATTGACAATCAACAAGTTCCTGACACGTCTGCTTGGGCCTCTGTAGGGGTTCCTATGGAGCGAAAGGAACAAGCAGCAGGGGAAAATAAATCCTTCACTCTGAAAGTCAAAGGTGGGATCTAAGCACACTGCAAAAATTATCTAGAAATAAGTACAAATGTCTTAAATTAAGTGTATTCACCCTTAATTTTAGTATAATTGCTGTATTTTACTCTTAAGATAAGATAATTAGATAATATGCACTTGTAATAACACAATGCAATTGCTTGTTCTTAATTTAAATGTAAATAGTCTTGTTCCATTGGCAAAGTGTCTCACTTACCTCCTCAATTCAAGACAAAATGTACTTATTTTAAAAAAAAATTGCTTATTTGGATTTCAATTTTTGCAGTGCAACAGTTGGAATCAAAACTTAACGCTCACATATCAGTACAATGACTATGGAACAACACGATTTCTACCTATATGAATCAGCATTAAGTCTGGTGGGGGAAAAAAAAGTGGATTTAAATTGTTCTTTTATTTGCGGTGGGGTTAAAAAATTTGACCAAATCTTACCCACAGGTGGTCAGAGTGAAATATAAAAGCTCAAACGTGAACTTGGAAGCTCAGTGGGTTTGTTTTAGTGGGACTGCCTGGTAGATAAAGGCAGGCCTTCTGATTAGCCTGCAGCTTTGAATGCTTCCCCAGGCCAGATGGGATTTGGATGTCCTCCAGCTTGTTTATGCAAGAGTCCCACTAGGCAACAATACACCTTTTCCCCCCCTGTAATAACAAACAAGCACATGTTCCATTTGAAACTTGGGTTTTTTAGCCTAAAAATAAGCAGAGCCGGTTGGTTTGCAGCAGCGAGGGTTTTCAGTAACTCTCTACCTGTTGTTTCTACCATCCTCTGGTTACAGACTACCTACAGGAGACTTGAAGGTTACCTTCTGCTCTTTCTCAATTGACAGTTCCCTGCATGTCTTTACATAGAGCCTGATGGCTGCAGGTATGCTTTGTTGCTCCACCTGCACCACCATGGACTGTTACATGAGCTTTGTTATGGTGGATGTCAGTGTTTCTGGTAGAAATGTTTTCACGTCTGAACAGCTGATTTTGTGTGTGATCAGCTGGTTCTAGTTGTTATTAAATGCGTTGTGTCTTTAAATGCAATCTTGCAAAATAAAATAAAAATTCAGGGTCGACCACAACTCTCACTCAGACCCAATGTCCTTTTTTGATCATTAATCTAATACATTTTTTTGTTTGTTTTGGTAAAGTGGTTATCTGGCCAAACTCCTTTATTTCTCCCCATCAAGCTGAAATAGGCTCCAATCTACGACTAAAACGATTAATTGCGATTAATCATTTATGTAAAATCGAATTGTTAACTTGAGGACAGCATCGAAAACATTTTAGCCCGTAACTTCAATATTACAATATTAAATAACATGTAGTTATTTCAGTCTATATTCATTGATATAGATAGAAATTCAGGTTATCCTGGTGGGGCTGGTGTCTATGTCTGTCTGTAAGTGAAAGGTAGAGACACCATGGACAGGTCACCCGTCTATTGCAGCTAATATAATTCATTTCTAAATAAACTACATTTAATTCATTATTTTAAAAATAATATTAATTATTAAATGGGTCTTTAGTAATAATTTATTGTGCATGAAATGATTGAATTAGATTTTTAAAAAATTGAGTAAAAGTTACATCTACTTATTTAATTATGTATTGCGGCCCTTCATATTACCGGCAGGCCGGTATTTTTGGCTGATATAAGTACTTTCATTGTTTCAGTATCAGCTGGTACCTGAATCTGGCACATTCACTAGTGAATCTAGAAGGTAAACCTTGGGATCATGTGCAGCACATGGATGCTGCTCTCTTCATTTTCTATCCATTGTTGTTTAATTTGTTAGCTTTTTTAGGGGTTTAAACGGAGACTTGTGTAACATGGGATATTTTTATGATGAAGAGAGGAAGAAAAAGCACTATGCGCTCTAGGAATCGTCTCAGAAATATCTGCAGCACTTCACCCATCAGGAATGAGTTAGACTGATGTTAAAATAACTGATATCTGTCCTTAAAACCTGTACTGGTGGATCACTTCACTATACATCATGGTAATGGTGAAAATCATCTTGCAACCCGCCACCTGGTGTTTTGCGACCCCCCACCCCCCAGGGGTGCTGACCTTCCTTTTGGGACGCCCTGATCTTGAGTATTGGCACACACACACACTCTAAAACAGATCCTTTAATTAAATATTAACCTAATTACGGCAGTGATTAAGAAAAAAAAATCGACAAATAAATAAAAATTTTTTTAACATGAGATGTCTGAAGAAACAATAAAATTTTTCCATTTAAGATTCCATTTTTGTTTTATGATATAAATGTATACATGTAATTCCTTCTTGTCCTTCCTGTTAAAAGGGAGGTTTTCCTCTCCACTGTCGCTACAGGCATGCTTAGTCTGAGGGATTGTATTTGAGTCAATGAGTCGATGCAATCAACGGGTTTCCGTTAGATAGAAAACTTTGAATCAATTTGATTGGATGATCTGTGCTATCTGTGCTATATAAATAAACTAAATTCAAATTGAATTGAAATTATACGTATGTGCATTTTCCATTTTGTAATTTCCTTGGTGGGTAGCACTGCTGCCTTGCAGCAAGAAGGTTCTGGGTTCGATTCCCAGTCTTTCTGCATGGAGTTTTCATGTTCTCCCTGAGCATGCATGGGTTCTCTCCGGGTACTCTGGCTTCCTCCCACAGTCCAAAAACATGACTGTTAATTGGCTGTTAATTGGCTTCTCTAGAAAATTCTCCTTAGGTGTGAGTGTGTACGTGAATGGTTGTTTGTCTCTGTGTTGCCCTGCGATGGACTGGCGACCTGTCCAGGGTGGACCCCGCCTGTTGCCCATTGACAACTGGAGATAGGCACCAGCACCCCTTGTGACCCCACTTGGGATTAAGCATGTTTGAAAATGGATGGGTGTTACTTTACCGAAAGTATGTTTTTCAGTTAATTGAAAAAAAGAATTGATAAATTAATGGATTTCTAAAATAATTGGTGCGGCCCTACTTCGATCGCAGAGTGGACTTTGCAGGGTCTTAATGAAAAAGGTCAAATGACACTAAAGCAAGAAATAAAGTAGCTGAGAAAAACTCTAAACATCAGAGAACTGTGGACCACTGGATCCACGGTGGAACCCGTCAGCTGTGTACCTGATCCGTATCTGCGTGGTTCTGGCCTAGTTTGCGGTCTCTAGTGTCGTCATGTGACTGTTCTCCAGCAGGGAGCAGGCTGCTCCTCATGATAAGCTTGATTTAACCTCTGCTGGGGGTTCAAAGGCATCAGCCTGCTGAGTTAGGTTATATAACCCTGAGAAAGGAGCTGCTCTGCACAGCGCTGCGTGTGGCCCATCGGCCTGAACCGCTTCTTCCTCCATCATATCACGTTTGAGGGCGCACACACATGCGCGCACGCAAAGGTCCGGTAACGGAGGTCTTTTGAAGTTCTGTTTGTCTTAGAGTAAAAGGAGGAGACATGTTTGGGAAAAAGGAAGGGACCGAGATGATCTGTTGATCCTCAGGAGGAGCAGACAGAAGCAAACCAAACTCCACCACTGAGTACAGACACAATCACACATGGATGATTTAGTATGTGTGACCCACATTCTGTACTGGTGAATTTCTCTGAGAGTCTGTAGGGAGTTATTTTCATCAACTACATCAGCCACATCAGCACATCTATGATCAGCCATGTTTTCCTGCATCCGTGCAAATATCTGTTGCTGATGAAGGAACCACCAGCTGCGTTATGAGCCATATTTCCAGCAGATGAAGGAAAGGTCCAGAAAGGACATTTTGATCATCCATCTCTCACACAGCTTCTCCTGCAGTGATGCTGTCTAAACACAGAGTGATGCTTCCCTCCCCCCCAGTCTGTTCCTTCCCGTCTCTGAAATGGCCCAGCTGTGCGAAGCCTGGTTCATGTCCCTTCCACTCCCCTCCCATATTTTGCATCCTCTGCCGTGGCCCTGGGCAGAGGCAAACTAAAGCCGACAGCCTGAGTTCACCAG